CCTCCTGATATGTATCACCCATCAATTCCACATTCTTCAAATTTAACTAATTGGTAAGTCGACGTTATCCGATACCATGCACTAGCTTATGAAAATGTGCACTTTGGTAGAGATTTGATGAATAGGTCTGCCAAAATTTCATTGGAACGGATTTGTCTAACTTTAATAACTTTAGCATTTTAAAACTTATGTGCATTGAAAAGCTTTGGAGATATGTGTTTAGTCTTATCACCCTTGATGAATCCTTCCTTCATTTGGGCAACACATGCTGCATTATCTTCATGAATGACAGTTGGAGTGTCTGTCTTTGAAAGTAAACCACATGAATTCCGGCTATGATGGATCATTGATCTTAACCAAGAACATTCACGACTTGCTTCATGTAAAGCAATTATTTTCGAGTGATTGGAAGATGTAGCAACTAATGTTTGCTTTGTTGAGCGCCATGAAATTGTTGTATCGTCTTTAGTGAACACATACCAGTTTGTGGGCGGGCTTTATGCGGATTAGAGAGAAAACCAACATCTGCATATCAAACAAGGATATGGTCATTTGTGGATTTCTCTGAGTAGAAGAGACCTATGTCTGTTGTCCCACGAAGGTATCTTAAAACATTTTTGACTCCCTTCCAATGACGAATTGTTGGAGCAGAGCTATACCTTGCTAACAAGTTGGTTGAAAAAGTTATATATGTTCTAGTACATTGTGCTAAATACAATAAAGCACCTATTGCACTTAGATATGGTACTTCTGGACCAAGGACCATTTCATCATCTTCTTTTGGACGGGATAGATCTCTCTTAATGTCCAGAGAATGAACAACCATTGGCGTACTGAGTGGATAAGCCTTATCCATGCCAAAATGCTTCATGATTTTTTCAATGTAAGCTGATTGATGGACCAAAATTCCATTAGCACATTGCTTGATCTGCAGGCCGAGACGATATTTTATTTTTCCAAGGTCTTTCATTTCAAATTCGCTTTTCAAATATTCAGTAGTTCTATTAAGCTCTTCAGGGGTTCCAGCTAAGTTCATATCATCAACATATACTGCCACTATAGCAAATCCAAAATTTGGTTTCTTAATGAACACACAAGGGCAAATGACATTGTTGGTATATCCCTCTTTGATCAAATACACACAAAGATGATTGTACACATCGAAATTTCGAATGTCCTCACTTCAAGGCGCGTCGTATACATGTGTTTGTCACGTGTAGAAGATGCGTTTTAAAGTCCCTTAATGTAGACTTCCCTCAACCTCAGTCAATTACCACCATCAATAGACTTCCCTCAGCCTCAAGAACAAAGCCTATGTATTGGTTGAGGCGTCGAAGTTCGTTTTGAGGTCAAATTAAGAACACCAATTTCAATGGTTTCCGACGGATCGATGGTGTTTTTAGGTGTTTTCCGGCTGAATTAGCCTTCAGCCTAGGTATAAAAGTTCTTCCCCTTGTTGTGATCTACATTTCTGTAAAATTTGGTAATTTTTGGAGTTAGGCAAAAAATTTCTGCGAGTTTGGGCGGTCGGCCGTTGCGTGCGTGGGCCGAGACCCAACCTGCCCTTCCTAGACTAATTTGGATACCCTGATTGCATATGTGATGTCCGATTGACAAAATCTCATCATATGACTATAGTTTTGATGGAGACCGCCACTTGGCCACTACATAAATCGATGATCCAATAGTTGGATCATCACCAAACTTTAATATGTAATAGTGCGTAATATTTGAGGACAATAGGAAATTACCAATCGGGAAACTGACTTACGGATCTTCCCGAATTGGATTTCTAAGTTTGTAAAATCAAACATTTACCGCCACTTAATCTTAGCAATTGGTGGAGATCCAACCGATGGATCGTAATGAAATTTTAGTATGTTGTTCTAGAAAAGTAGTGAGACTCTTGGAAAGTTACGGGTCAAAAATCTGATTGGCGGATCTTTCGGTTTAGATTTATAAGGTTGCGGACCCTACTCTTGACCTTGATCGACGGTTGGCTTTTTAGTCAACTAGCCCGAGTTCTTCTAGCGTGTTGGTTATCTTAGAGTGTGGTTGAGATTTCACAGAGCTTGATGGGCTCATCGTGATGATGTGTCTTCCTCGACTGACGTGCACCTCGATTTATGTAATGATGGCATCACATTGTGTTATGCTTGTTTATTTATGTGATTTGACTTGTGTATTGAACTTGTTGTGAAGTGTGGCTGATTTGTGTGTTTGGCCTAATGTGATGAAATGTGAGGGCTAGGAGTGGACCATAAACCCATTGTCATGGGGTTTGTTGCTTCGAGACTTGTTTCACATATCGTATCATTATTTCATTTCTCATTTCATTGAGCCGTTCTAATTGTGTACCTTGTGCTTTGTTCAATTTCTAGTTTCGTTGAGTTTTTGTATTTTGAGTACTTGTTTCATGTCTTGTTCTTCGAGCGTTGCTATATTCCTTGAACTTTGGCTCAGTTCTGTTGAGTGATTCGAAACTGGGTTTCCATTGGGGTTCCGTTGAGTGGTCTGGTTCCCTGCTCCGTCTGGATTTCAATAAGTGGTCCGGAATCCCTCGTGATTCGCGATTCCGTTAAGTGGTCCGGAATTGTATCCAGCTTAGATTTAAGTGAGTTGTTCAATATGCATTGTACTCCGCAATTTCGTTGAGTAGTCCGGAATCGTATCCACTTAGATTCCATTGAGAAGTCTGAAATCCCTTCTATTCCGCGATTCCGTTGAGTGATCTGGAATCGTATCCTGGTTTGGATTCCGTTGAGTGGTCTAGAATCCCCTTTGGTGTTTTGGTTCCATTAAGTGGTTCGCAACCCAATGTTGATGGATTTTGTTGAGTGGTCCGAAATCGCATCATTTGAATTGTTGGTTCCTTGGATTTGATTTCAGCTTCAGAGATGTAGGCTTCGGTCGAACTGTGTCTCTCTAGCCCTGCATTTCGGTGTATGGTATGTGTGATTGATTGATATGATTGTGGAATAATGTTGGTTGTGATTGTTGTCATTATGATTAGACTCATTGACCAATATGGCTAGAGATTTACGTTGCGCTTCATCGAATGTTCCTCGTGATGTTGCATGCCTGTTGTGTGGTATTATGTTGAGACATAATGATTTATGTGATGATTGTTCGAGTGTAGTGAAGGGTGAACTATGAATGGCTTGATCCCTATTGAGGGTACGTAGGCAGTCTAACGGGGAGATTAGACGCAACCATAAAGTACACGAAAACTACTATGCAATTCGAATCTTGAGTTGTGCATTGTTCATATCCTGAAGGCAGGGTATGTTAGATATACGGGTATTTGGTGATGTCACGTGTCGATCCTAGACGTATGTCGGGATTGAGGTGTGACAATTATTATCAAGTCTTCATCAATATTAGCTAAAGCATGTGGGCATATATTTCCACAATTTTTACAACATATGGAGATATGTTTACGGTGCCGTAAAATTTGTTTTTTCTTCAGCCAACTGGGAAGACATTATACAAGGTTAATATTTTGTAATTACCTAGTTTTATCATTAAAGACATATATATAGTGAAGATCTACCATGATTGTTTTTTCATTGTTTCAATCAAGGGTGACATTTTTGTGAAGTACACAATAACTGGTCATGAAATTAAATATATACTAAAAGAGAAACATAACTAATTTACTGTTCATAAGCACAGTATGCTTCCTATTTTGTCCTAACTAAATTTGCTTTATTACGTTTCTGCCACTGTCTGAGAAGTTCTTTGATAGTGTTATTCCTTTTTTGCCCCTTTATTGTTTCTTTGGTCACTGTTTAACTACAGTGTACTCCCGCTTTTATCCCTGCTTTAGTCTTTGGCCTTTTAGGCTGTGTTTGTTTGACCTTCTTAGGGGTCATTGGACTAGACTAGATTAATTGTTTGTCCAGTCTTATGTTTGTTGTCCACACTGGACTAGTTTTAATGGGACTAACAGGGACTCAGCCCGACTGAATGCTTCACTAAACGTTCTTAGCGAGACCCCTCAATTTCAAGTGAACTGCTAGTCTCGTTCTCTCCCCCGTTGTTGATCCCTCGACGTTTCCCTTCTCCTTCACTGCTTCGCCCTCTCCCTTATCCTTCGCACCTTCGCCATTCCCTTCTCCTTCGCACCTTCGTCCACTCCCTTGGGCCTTTACTATCCCACCCAAAAGCCTAAACCCAGACCTTAAACAAAAACTGAAAAAAATCCATTGATTCCCTTCCTTTCTTCTTCGTTCAAGTCACACTCTCCTTCTCTCTCAGCAAAATTACCATGGTTGCAACCACCAGACCACCACTAGACAACCATCACCAGAAGCTCGTCGTTGATCTCCGCGTTCACGCGTGACCCAGATGCAAGTCGGGACCGAAAGCGTACCAAATGCTCAAGCATCTACGAATCCCCACACAAATTCAAAAAAAAAAGGCAAAATCACTACATAACCCTGGGATTTTCCAAGAAATTCAGAGGAGGTGCTGGGTGGAGATCTCCGATGAATCCTCCGTGTGAATCTTCTGCATAAGGAAAAGAGGGAAAGGTTAAGGATAAGCGGACGGAGGAAAAAAAGGGAGAGGGGGGAGACAGTAGCCGAAAGAAAATAGGGAGAAGTATGGAAAGAGAGGAAGAATATTTTGGAAAAATGGTGAAACAAAATAAAAAGAGGGAGATGAGAGGGAGAATGGCGGAGGAAAAGATGAATGGGCTATAGAGAGATAATTTTAGGAAAAAATAAAAAAAGATATTGACCTTTACGGAAGGATATATGATTCTAGAAACAAATAAAATGATAAATTAATAATAAAATATTAATAAATATAGATAAAATAATATAATATTTGAGTTAGATAATTATCCAGCTTCTTAGTCCGACATTGCACCAAACGCTTCACTCTAGTCCACCTTAATCTAGTCTAAGCCAGTCTAGCTTAGTCTTGAAGTTAGGACAATCCGAGATAGTCCGGTGCAACAACGCACCCTTATTTCATTTCTGAATTCTTCCTTCCCACACTGTTTTAGTATCTCGACCCATCTGTTCTCTAGATGCTTCCCCACCGTTTCAGACTCTCGACCCACCTTTCCTCTGCCCGGCTCCTGCTTTCCCCGTCTCCCTCCTCACCTCATCTCCCAATTTCCCAACTTATTTTCGATTTACACTTAAATCTCATATGAATCTCCTTGGTCTCACCTATCCTCTGAACCCAAAAAAGATTTAGCCTTCCGACGACTCTGGCTGCCATAATCAATCTTGGTTGTTGGCCGACAACCGGACTGCAACATCGTCTTGTCTCACTCCAGCATTAGCATATTCCAGCTTCAAACCCTCTCTGACCCTTTTTGCCAAAATCGTTCTCACCGATTTGTCATCAGGTAAGATCCTGGAGTTTTTATTTGGCATCCCAAACCTCATCTCTCTTGCCACTATTCCTCAAAACTTTCATATCGGTACATCAACTCAACTTTCATTTATTTCAACAGCTCAACTCTCTTTCTATTTGAAACCTAAAGATTGATTATTTTCCTTTTTTTCTCTGTTTTTATTTTCCAGGGAAAAACACCATCTTTGCCGAAAAAGTTTGAATTTTTCTCGGGAATTCTCACCCATCCCTAAGATTTTCTTTGTGGGTTTTGGTTCTCAGGTTGCGAATTTTTCTTGGTGGCGATGATCGGTGTTCGTTGTTGTGTGGATGATCCCAGTGGAGCTTTGGTTTTCAGCTTTGGTGATTTCTGCGTGGATTTTTTGGGATATGGTTTGGGCTTCTGGGTAAGCAACTGTCACTCTATTCAACTTAAATTTAGTTCACTTTTTTTTTTCCTCAATAATTTGTTTGATGGCATGATTGTTTGATCCTTTACTAAATAGTCATCAAGAAATGTAGGAATTTTTAGTAGTTTTGATTTCTTTTCAATTTTTATTTTATTTTATTTTCAAGCCCTGAGTTTTGTAAGAACCGTCTACCCTGTGCATACACTAGATACTCCTAACATTTCAAATAAACTACCAGTGAGTTCTATAACTTTACTAATATTTATTTACAATGCAAGTTAAATTGTTGGTTTTCTGTTTGTCAATGTGTTAGCTTTTCTACTCTCTACCTTGCATTAGAGGTTGCCATGTCAGGTGAGTTCAAGTTCTACTTGGTACACAAGGGTTGTTTTTAGCTAAGTCTCAAATTTGTGTGCTCTTCATCATGGCTTTTATTTTGGTGGCAGTTAGGTGTCATTAATATGAAGTGTAAGCTGGTTGATCCAGATGGTCTACTAAATAAGCTAAGGGTATTGAAATCAGTTAATGTAGATGGCGTTTATGATTGATTGCTGGTGGGGAATAGTAGAGGGACATGATCCACAGAAGTATAATTGGAATGGATACAATAGGCTCTTTCAGATGGTGTGTGAGCTTAGAATAAAGTGACATGTCTGTTTTATATAAATTCGTTTTTTCAATTGTAGAAGTTTTTTCCTCTCAATGGGCATATAAACAACATGTGTGGTTAATTGTTTTGCCATCTTTGTGGTCATTTTTATTCTTTCTATGCATATTTTTGGTAGCAATTTAACAATTGATTGTAGAAACTTTTGTCTTTGTATGTTGATGCTTCTTAATAGTGGTGGTGCCATGCATGTTCTTGGTTAAATTAATTGAGTATGTCCGTAATTTGGAATAGTTCTTTTCTAAATTGGCAGGAATTTTTTCAGTTGAGGAGATTGTTGGATACTGCTGCTAAGTGGATCAATGGAAGCGATAGCCAGTGATTGAGGGTATCTTTTGGAGGACTTTGTTGTGGATGGGATTCAAACAGAACCTTTCAACTTGAACGAGAGGAGAGGGAAAAAGGTTATTTTGATGCAGATGGAAAGTTTATTAATATGCCATTAAAAATGAAGTCAAGGTAAACATGTTTATCATTTTTGGCAACAACATGTTTATCATTCTTGGGTAGTTAATGTTAGAGTGTTTATCATACAATTAGGTTCTTGGAGTTTACTGATGATTTGCTATGCGTGTAGGTCATAAAATATTTTTTATACTGAAGCTTTCATCTCTCTGATTAAATTTAGTTGAATTAAGTAATTCAGTCAATTACTTAATTCAGTAAAAGAGACAACCAAAAAACGTGGAGGTGGAGTCAAATGCAAAATCATAGAATCAGAAATTAAGGTAGTCGTTATACATTTCGTTTGATTTGTTTGAATAGGCTGATTTATAACTGTTTCAGTATTATGTTTCTTCGCATGCAGATTACCATATGTATTTGAGAGCACAGCTGATGTAAGTTCTCTCTTTATGCCTCTATCTCTCTGTGCATTGATATGTTTTCTGTCAATTTTATTCTTCTGTATGCATTATGTTTATCCTGAACCAAAGGTTCCTTATCTTTTATTTATGATGAGTGTGTGCTGCTTGGTCTCCAATGATTATTTGTATTTCCGAAGGTATAATGGGAGGAAAAATCCATTCAACCTCGACCAAATTGTAGGGAATCCAATTAAGATGCTTACGTGATTTTTTTTCAGCATGATACATGATTAAGGTTTTTTTTTTTGGTCAATAATACATGTTTAAGGTTGAGCTTTGAAAATTGCAGATTTATAAACTATGAGTAGAGTTTCCGGGCAATATAGTCATTTCTTAATGGGCAATGAATAATTAAGGTTTGAAATCGAAAAGTAGATTGCAAATGTTGTTCATTATGAAAAACCTACAGGAACATTAGTTCTTAGCATTAATCACAAAGTGCAGTTGTACTCGAGACTGAGAGAGTGGCGTTTAATTGTTCTCCTATGGGATGTGGTTGATCTTACCCTTTATATGTTTAAATTTATATATACTTAGTTGAGTTATGTTTTCATTTTTGGATTCAGGCCTAGACACTATTGATCCCTCAAAATTTTAGCCATAAAGCAAAAGGTGGTGACTCACGTAGACAGCTGACTCATTTTCAATAGAAAGGAATAGCCAAACTAACCCAGCTGGGAAATAACGTTCACCAATCACTGTCTTAGCACATTTACTTAAGTGAATACATTGTTGTTTATTATGGCCGTCTTTCCAAGATCAAGCCCCTTGCTCAGTTGTATAAAGTTTGCATCCTCAGTTGTGCCGTATCGCAAGTTTGGATTTTTGGGTGCCCCTTTCATGTAGCAAAACGAAAAATTTGATGCAAATCAGTTTGTCTCAAATTGCAGCTTCCTCGGTTTCTCAAATCTCAACGATCAATCTGCAGTATCCCTCAAGCAGTTTCTCCCAAACTCTTACGATTTGCATTTTTGCTTATCTCCCTACACTCTTATCAGCATTATCACTGCTCTCTCATATGCTTTTCTTTGTTTTGCTCTAATTTTTAAATTTATTTTTTTGTTATTTAGTGTGAGAAAATGGCTTCAAAATTGGAATTTCCATTATCTGGGCAAAGGAAAACAGAAAGAGAACACCAATAGTGGTGACGATGGAGAATCCCTTCTTTGCTGTGGAAATCGAAGGTCTATGTGCAACATTTAGCCCAGTTTATAAGAGCAGGGGTCAAAATGAAGAACCAATGACATGGGGATTTGTTTAATTTTATCAAGTTTTGTACTGAGGTAAAACTCCCCCCATTTAACATAGTTTTAAATGATGATTAGTATGTGTGTAAATAGGATTGTGAGTATGGTTGTATTTATGTAGTAGTAGAATTAGAAACATTGTTGTAATTATGTGTAACTAGAGTTGTAAACTATGTTAATTTAGGTTTTTGTGTGTATTATACAGTAAAATGGCATTTTTATCCCTGCTGTGCAATAGAAATCTCTTGATTTCTTCAGAACCTGCACTCAGCTTCGCCATCTCTCTTCGATCTCTGCTTCATGCTCTTCAATCTTTGCTTCATCATCTCTTCCTCCGTGATTTCTTCACCAGCAACTTTGCTCTAAATCTTTCCAATTGAAAAAACCTAGATCATCATCATCTATTCCTCTTCACCACAGGTACCTTCTGCACCTATTACATGTCAAAATCTGCTTCGTGTTCTCTTCGTGTGTTGATCTTTTGTCTGATTTTGTTTTTGGTTGCAAGAAACGTTTATCTTCTAGTTTTAGGGTTTTGTTATGTGAGTTTGCAAACCCTTTCTGGGCAGGTATATAAGTTATCTTTGCACTATGCAAATTTTTTTTTTTGGGCAAATTTTTTGATTTGGGTCTTTTGATGGTTTGTGCTTTGATTTTTCCCTGAATGTTTAAAAAGTCAGAGATGGCAATGGTTAGTTTTTGGGTTTAGGGGACTGAGAAATTGTGTGTTGTTCGTGTGCATTCTTCATTGTTTGCACTTTCAATTTAAGAGGATGCAATATATTTTCATCGGTACCATATCTTTTCAGATAATCAAGGGAGGATGTTCATGATGTGTTATTAGGGTAGTTCAAGTGCAACAATTTTGTGACAGATATTAGTTTGAAACATTGATAGTTTTTAGTTCTTTGACTGCCTTCACATCTCTTCCATTTTAAATGATTGAGAGCTTAATCTATTCGTGTTTATACAGAAATAAAAAAATGGTTATAATTGGAATATTACGCTTAATCTTCTTTTGGTATTTGTTTTGATTTTCTTTTGTTGGCTGTGTTTTGTAGCTCATCAGAAACAGTAAGCAAGTGAAAGCTATAACCAAAGGTTTATTTAGTTCTCCCATATGGTTTTCATCTATTGTAGGTAAACGAGAGCTACTGTGCTCTTTATGCAATAAAGTTCACCATCAGCTCTAGATACGAGCATCATGGCAAAGTTGAAGTATGCATAAATGGCAATAGTTTTGGCCTCAACTGGAAGTTGTAGCGAGTGTAACTATATTGGGACATGTAATGAGAAGAAATGTTTAAGTAGCTGTGGGGAGGTAATAAACATGTTTACTTCTGGCCTATGCTTACTCTAAGATAATTGCCAAATTGGTTAATTACACACGAGGCTAAAAACTTATGGCCAACTAACCTTATCTTAATGCTTTAATAGGCTACTTTGTTTCCAATCTTGCTTAAAATTGAAGAATGACTATTCTTGCAGAGTTGTATTGAACAGAACAACTATCCTCGGGGTAGCTGTAACACCTGATGAGAATTTTGAAGGTGATCCAATCGGAGGCCAGTTGTAGCTAATGATTCTCAATTTCTCGAGTACAGCAGTAAAGGTCTTCTATCTTCATTTCTCATTGACATTTTTTTTCCTTGACAACATAGTTCACAAGGCTTTTAGCCTGTTATTATTATTGGAATTAGATTACAATACTTGCAATAATTTTGGCAAGGAATCAGTTGACAGTGTGGGGTTCATGGAGTTTGGATTCAGCATTCTCTGAAATTAGCCAAGGAATGGAAATTTTATTGGTTTGATTAGTAATTTGGTATGTTCTTTTTATTTTTATTTTTTTTTTGGGAAACTAATTTGGTATGTTCTTTAAATTCTATAATTATGAGAGAAACAGAGATCATCGTATTATATATTTTATCAACATTTAACATTTATGATTGTGAACTATCTTTGTATGTTTATCAATTTATTCTTTATGATTTTCAGTTTCCTAAATGAAGTTTGACATCTATGAAATTTAACAATTGATCTTCCTTTGCATTCTTGCATTTGAACTCCAAGTTAGTTTATGCTAAATGCTATTTAACAATTTAGAGAAAAGGTTTCAATTAATTGTCATGCAATGCAGCTGCAAATTTGATGATTTAGAATTAGCTTATCCATCTTCCATTTGATTTATAATCCTGCAGCAACGCGCGGGCAACAATTTCTAGTAGCATCGAATTGGCAAAAATAAAATGGTTGTTTTTCGCTGTGTTTGTAATTGATTAGTTGGTGCAATGAAACTTATCTTAGGGTTTTTATAAAGGGTGATGCTAAAGAGACCATTTATTTGAACTATATTTTGTAGACCAAATGATGTGGCGTTTAATGGTTGAATTCCATCTTTAAGTTACACAAAAAAAACCTAAAATTAAAAAAATTAACCATCAATTAAAACATTATATGGTCTTCAAAATATCATCTATATAATTAAGTACCTTATCTTTCACGTAGGTGGTAAGGGACGGATCATCTATTTGATTGGGCTAGATAGTTTGATTTTGTGCTTAAGAGTAATTAAGGGACTTAATTGTAATTAAAAAAAATAGAGTGGTACATACCAAAAGCAGTAATTTCATCACAACGACCAACCAACTTCCTCCCAACTCCTACCACACGTATATGCGCATTTTCTTCTGTAGTTCGGTGCACATTGGGTAATGTGTTTCTCACTGTCATGTTAAGGAGACCTAATTTTTAAATCAAATTGTGTAAACTATATTATGTAGTTGTTGATAATTAAATTATTAATGAAGTATCGATTAACGTGCTTATCTTATTAGTAATACATCATTTGGTTCAAAAATTTAGTCTCCCTAATATTATCATTCTCACTATATATTTACTAGCAAGAATATATATCAAGGAAAATACATGGTTGCTTTTTTTTTTTTTTTTTTTTTTTTTTTTTTTTTTTTTTGTGGTTCAATACATGGTTGCTTATATAACTTTGCACAATGGAGTATGGTTATACTTTCTTTCATTTGTAAATGGAATGTATTGACTATAGGTTCGACTCTTTTACATGATGAATTCAAAACTAAATTATTATGATCGATCAATTGTAAGACTCGTCCAAAATATCTATTACCATTTAAGATAGAGCATCGTTGTATAAAAAAAAAATCATTCTTGATTACAGATAAATCATAATTTGAGTTGTGTTCCGACTAATTTTTCAATACCTTTAAAATATAAGGAATACTTCAAGCTTATAATTCGTCGCCATGATTGAGGTAACAAGTAATTAAACACGTAAATGTTGCCACAACATTTGTTTACCACAACATTTGTTTACCACCATACCCTTCGTTCACACGTATTCTTTCTTAATTTTTCTCTATATAAGCACCACCATAGTGCCTTTACAACTCACTAGCTACACGAGTCTTCAAATCAAGTTCTTTCACATCCATTACTCATACACACTTTGGTAATCCACATCCTAATTAATTCGTTATGGCTAGCTCTGCAGTGATCAAGCTTGCTTTGGTGGTGGCCTTGTGCATGGCGGTGAGCGTTGCGCATGCCATAACATGTGGCCAGGTGAGCTCCAACCTTGCACCATGCATTGGCTACCTGAGGGGTGGCGGACCTGTCCCTCCAGCTTGCTGCAATGGAATCAGAACCATTAACAGCTTGGCCGAGACCACCCCTGACCGCCAGGCTGTTTGCAACTGCTTGAAGAGTCTTGCCAGCAGCGTCAGTGGTGTTAACCCTGGCAATGCTGAATCGCTTCCTGGAAAGTGTGGAGTCAACGTCCCCTACAAGATCAGCACCTCCACCAACTGCACCACGTAAGTATATCACAAAACCCAAATTACCACAACAACAACAACAACAACAACAAAGCCTTTTCCCACTAAGTGGGGTCGGCTATATGAATCCTAGAACGTCATTGCGCTCGGTTTTGTGTCATGTCCTCCGTTAGATCCAAGTACTCTAAGCCTTTTCTTAGAGTCTCTTCCAAAGTTTTCCTAGGTCTTCCTCTACCCCTTCGGCCCTGAACCTCTGTCCCGTAGTCACATCTTCGAACCGGAGCGTCAGTCGGCCTTCTTTGCACATGTCCAAATCACCGGAACCGATTTTCTCTCATCTTTCCTTCAATTTCGGCTACTCCTACTTTACCTCGGATATCCTCATTCTCAATCTTATCCTTTCTCGTGTGCCCACACATCCCACGAAGCATCCTCATCTCTGCTACATCCATTTTGTGTACGTGTTGATGTTTCACCGCCCAACATTCTGTGCCATACAACATCGCTGGCCTTATTGTCGTCTTATAAAATTTTCCCTTGAGCTTCAGTGGCCTACGACGGTCACACAACATGCTGGATGCACTCTTACACTTCATCCATCCTGCTCGTATTCTATGGTTGAGATCTCCATCTAATTCTCCGTTCTCTTGTAAGATAGATCCTAGGTAGCGAAAACGGTCGCTTTTTGTGATCTTCGCTAAATTGCTCCGGTCATTAGTGTGGATAAGTATATAAATGGATAGAGATAGGAAAGCAAACACAAGATGTACGTGGTTCACCTAGATTGGCTACGTCCACGGAATAGAAGAGTTCTCATTAATTGTGAAGGGTTTACACAAGTACATAGGTTCAAGCTCTCCTTTAGTGAGTACAAGTGAATGATTTAGTACAAATGACATTAGAGTACAAATGACATTAGGAAATATTGTGGGAGAATGATCTCGTAATCACGAAACTTCTAAGTATCGGAGTGTGGTATCATCTTGACTTGCCTTATCTGTCTCATAGGTAGATGTGGCAGCTTCTCTGGAAGTACTCTTCCTCCATCCAGGGGTGGTATCTTTAACTGGTGGAGATGCACAAGGTAATGTATCAATTTCACTTGAAGCTTACTTGTAGTTTCAGGCTTGGTCAAGCGCGATACAAACCATGTAGTAGGAGTCCCCCAAGTCGCCGAGCTAGGGGATTTGCTGAAAGATGTGACAGACAAGGTAAGCAATCAGAGCTCCGGCTGATTGTTCACCTTCTCCCCATCTTGCAGCAGCATGAAGGATAAAGAGAAGAAAAAAAATGAGAAGAGATGATATGGGATACTTTTGCTTTTGAAGAAGTAACTTTCCACAGGCTTATTCTTGAACTGAGCTGGAGGGTTTTCTGGTTTCCTCCAGAGTATAAGGCCGACTGAAGAATTTGAGGGTCAAAACAAGTCCATCAAATCTAGAGTACGTTCGACCCTGCTGATATGGGATACTTTTGCTTTTGACAGAGTAATGGATGGATCGGCACGCACGTGTGCTGTTACGCTTGTCTCCACATGCTTCCTTGTATCCTTCGCACTTGCCCTATCTGTTCCTCAAGCAGATGCGGTATCTTCCCTGGCAACATAAGATGTTGAAGATGAGTACTCGAGAGCAATGCCAGGTAAGTAATCAGGTAAGGGGTTCCAGGGCTGTCAGTTCCTGGCTGGGAGCTTGATTTCAAGTGCTGACTGATTGCTCTCTTTCTCCTTGTCTTGCAGGTAAAAACAAGGCCAAAGGAAAAGACAGGGAAAAAGCATGATATGGGATACTCTTGCTTTTAACCCTGATGATATGAGATATTCTTGCTCTAGTATAGCTTGTTTGCAGAGGTATTATCGGGGGGAAAGAAAGCTGAATATTTCGAAAGGCTTCGTTGGGAGTGCCCTTTCAGATATGAGGAAGGGTTGAGCATTTTTGCAGGTCTGCCTGTCCGTTGGGGATGGAAGGTCGACATATATAGGAGTCTCCCTAACAACAAGTAGTAATGCTATTCCTTTACCCTGCTTGGTCATAGCACGGTAGTGGGAGCTGCCAGCTTCACATGTTTTAACTCTGTCATAGCACTTTGAAAAAAAGTGGTATGTGGTATCTGGCTCTCGAGATTCGGAGAACGATGCTTCTTCGATTTTTTGAGAAAGCAATCATGGTGGGGGTCTGGCTCTCGAGATTCGGGGAGCAGTGTCTCTTCGATTTTTGAGAAAGTAATCATGTTGGGAGTCTGGCTCTCGAGATTCGGAAGGCGGTGCCTCTTCGATTTTGGAGTAAGCAATCTTGTTGGGAGTGTTTTCTCGGATGTGAGTAAAGGTTGGGCATGTTTGCTAGTCTACCTGGCCACGAAGCACGGAGGTTGACACACAGGGACTTTTCAATTATCCAGCAGTGGTACTGTTCCTTTACCCTTGTGGGTAATAATATGGTAGCTAAACCTTCAAAATTTATGTGTCTAAACTTTGTTAGTGCTGTTTCTTTGCTATTCTTTTACCTTTCTTGGTCAGAGCGATGTAGTGGGAGCTGCAAGCTTCACGTGCTCAACTTTGGCAGAGACTTTGATAAAGTTATCTGTGGTACCCATGAGCTATTGTTGCGTGTGGGAAGTGGGTGATTGAACAGTAAGATTCATGTGTTTTCTACTTCACCAGAAGTCTTCGACAGAATGCCCATAATTTCCGCAAAGCTGAGTGTGCGTGTGACAGGTGCTGACAAGGCTAGAAAAGAAGGTGCCTCTTCGATTTCTGAGATCAGCCCTCGTGGTCTCTAAGCAGCCCAGCTTTTGAGAAAGCGAGCGCCTCTTCGATTGATTCGAAGAACGATGTCTCTTCGATTTTTGAGAAAGCAATCATGCTGGGGTCTGGCTCTCGAGAGATTCGGGGAGCAGTGTCTCTTCGATTTTTGAGAAAGTAATCATGTTGGGAGTCTGGCTCTCGAGATTCGGAGGGCGGTGCCTCTTCGATTTTGGAGCAAGCAATCTTGTTGGGAGTGTTTTCTCGAATGTGAGTAAAGGTTGGGCATGTTTGCTAGTCTACCTTGCCACGAAGCACAGAGGTTGACACACAGGGACTTTCCAATTATCCAGCAATGGTACTGTTCCTTTACCCTCTCTTCGATTTTTGAGAAAGTAGTCATGTTG